CGGGCCCCCTCCAGCGGCTCCGGTGCCCCCCGGCGCCCCTAGACCCCGGCCCCCAGCACCCAGGCAGGAGGCCGGGAACAAGAGCGGAGGCAGGAGGACGAGGAGGAGGAGGAGCCGTCGCAGGATGAAGGATCGGACTCAGGAGCTGCGGAGTGTGAGCTTGGGGTGGAGAAAAATGGGGGGCGGGACCCCAATATTTGGGAAGCGCGTGGGGATGGAGTGGGGGAGGCGCTGGGACGTGGGGGCGAAAGATGAGAGTGGAGGTTGGTGGCCGAGGCCCCCCAATATCCGAGAGCTCCCAATACCTCGAGGCACCTGATGTCTCCAGTGAACCTGCGTTTTGGGGACAGTGGCTGGAAGAGGCTGGAAGCCATTAAGGCACAAGGGGGCAGGAGAAGTCTCAGGGGCCCCAGACACCCCCTATCCCTAGGACAGCCCCAGGGTCTAATCTGAGGATGGGGAGAGGGGAATTATGGGCAGGCTGGAGGTCCTGTCACCCCCTGGGCAGATTGGCCAAATTAGAAAGATGGGGGTGGTTACTCTAGCAGGACCCAGATTTCGGGGATGCTGTGGGGAAGGACACAGGTTGGGACCAAGATGCCGACAACTGGCAGTGAATGAAGTGTGTGTGTGTTTGTGTGTGTGTGTGCACATGCGAGTGTGTGTGTGTTCCCAATGGGTAGGGGACACCGTTCAGTGAGATAGAGACGGAAGGGGTGGCCTCAGCTGGACAGCCAGGGCCTGAGATGAGGTGACCCTAGAGGTGGGAGATGGGGGTGCATAGGAGAGAGGGAGGAGGTAGCACGCTCAGGCCCCTGGAATTAGGCTGTGCTCTGCTGGGGGGAACTGGGACATCGGGAACAGTTGGGGTGGGCGAGAGGCTGATGTGGGCCCCGGGGCTGCAGGCCCCAAGAGGCCTGCTTCCAAGAGTCTGGCCAGGCAGTTAGTTGTGTTTGGGTGCTGGGGAGGAGGGAGGCCCTTGGTGTCTGCAGTGGAGCCTGGTGTTTGGAGGGGCTGGGAGTGGGGGATTGATGAGGACGGTTTCTGGGGCAGGGAGGATGCTGGGGGATTTGGAGAGATGACCCGGGGCATGGGGAGGCAGAGCTGACACTCTGGCGTGTGCGCATGGCCTGTGGTGTTGCATTCATGAAAATACTGGTCTCAGCCAATGTATCCTGATGCACTGGGTCCTTACCAAAAGCCTGTTGGTTGGTACGGCGGGGGGCGGGGGGGGCTATAAGCCCATTTGACAGATGAGGGGACTGAGGTTTGGAAACTGATGGGAAGAGACTAGCCTAAGGCTGCTGAACCAGTGCCTGCGGGTGGGAGTCATGCTGGAATCCAACTTTGCCGCTGCCAAGTTGACATGTGTCTCCGCTTTTCTGACCTTTGTAACAGGGTTCTCAACCCTGGGGGTAAAGAACACTGCCTTTGACTTGCCTCCTGGCTTTTGGGGTTAGGGAACAGAGTCCAGAAAGACCAAGGGAAGGGCCTTGGAGACTGTTGATTCTGGGGAGAGACAAGTAGGAACAAAGGAGGAACTGGTGATTGGAGGAGGGAATTTTGAAGGTTCGTTTTTTTTTTTATTAAACTTTTCCTGAGTCTATTCTCAGGCACCAGGAAAATGACAGTAAGGATAACAATGCTCACAGGCCAGGCACTGTTCTAAGTGTTTTGCACATATTAACTCATTTTGATCCTCACAGCAACCCTAGAAAGCTGGTTACCAGTATTAGCTAACCCCCCCTTTTTTTTTAAATTAAAAAAATGATTAAGGGCCCTGGGTGTCACAAGCAGTTTGCGCTGTCCTAGGAACCAAAAGCCTCGTGATTCAAATCCCCCAGCGGCAGAAACAGGCCTGGCATCTAGCTCTCTGAAGAGCCCAGCCAAGAGAACTGCTCTGTCCCACCTGGGGTGTCCTCAGTCACAAATCAACAACAAAAACAAAGTCAACAACAACAAAAGTATTGTGGTAAAATACATATAACAAAAAATTGGTCACTGTGACCATTTTGTAGAAGAGAAAACTGAGACCCAGAAATGTTAAGTTAACTTGACCAAGGTCACACAGCTGGTAAAACCAAAACCAAACTCACTGCCATGCAGTCCCTTCTGACTCACAAGCGACCCCACTGGGTTTCCAAGGCTGTAAACCTTGCCGGAAGCAGACTGCCTCATCTTTTGTCCGTGGAGTGGCTTTGAACTACCAGCCTTTTGGGTAGCAGTCAGATGCCTTAACCATTCCACCACCAGGATGACTTCAGCTAGTAAAAGGCAAGGTTCAATTTCAGTGTGGTTCATTCCCTTTCTGTTCAGGTGCAGGTTTCAGAGCAACTCTCTAGACGCTTACCGACCTCCTGGTGAGGTAGGGGGCCTGCCTTCTTCTCTAAGTGGGAAAACCGTGGAGTTGTTAAAACAATTTGCCCAAGGTCATACTGTGAGGGACGTGGATTTGAATCCAGATACCCTGCTGCCAAGGGGGATCTGGTGGCTCAGTACCTAAAGGCCCTTGCCTGCTAACCAGAAGGTTGGCAGTTCAAACCCATCAGCCGCTCTGTGGAAGGAAGATGGGGCAATCTACTTCCGCTAAGATTTGCTGCCTCAGAAACCCAGTGAGGCTCGTTAGGACTTGGAATCAGCTCGATGGCAGTGAATTTGGTTTGGTTTTGGACCTTGCTGCCAAGACTGTTCCATGACTCAAAAAAACTGAGAAATGGAAAGTCAATTTGGGTGAGGTGGTGATGGAATTAGAGGGAGAAGGAGGAAAAGAGGGATGAGACAGGGTGGAGGGGAGACAGGGAGCAGAGAGCCCTTCTTGGAGGGTCAGATGCCCCTGGCCAGAAGTGAGGAATCCTGTCAGCGGGAGGTTGCTGGGGGCTGGGTGAATGCTGATAGGCTTGGTGTTAGTCACAGCTCAGGGAAACTGGAGACTTGGGAGGAGGCGGGAAGAAGCTGCCAGATGTAAGGAGTGGGAGGGTCTGTCCGCCAGAGTCGAGAGCAGGGAGGCTGGTAGGTGGGGGAAACTGGGCAGAGCATGGGGGCTTAGGAGGAGGGTCTGGAGGATGCTGGGAGAAGCTAAAGGGCCAGTGGTGGGAGGGGCCCTGATTGTCTCTCCATCAGGACCTTGGAGTTCCCAATGGTTTCTCAGGTCTGTTTATCACATAGTCGTTGAGAACACAGACTGTCTGGATTCAAATTCCAGCTTTGCTACTTCCTGTGTGACCTTGGGCAATTTGCTTAACCTCTCTGGTCCTCAGTTTCTTCATCTGTGAGTTGCTGGTAATTATGATACTTGTTTTGCAGGGTTGTTCTGAGAGTTAAACTTAGTTAACATCTGTGAAGTGCCTGGAAGAGGAGCTGGCATACAGCAATGTTCTATGAGTGTTTGTTGTTCCACAGATGACTTGTGTATTTCCCTAGAACCTCATCTCAGCCCCCTGGGGTGGGCAGGATATGCCTCTCAATTTATTTTTGAGTAATTTGGGGACCACAGAGGTAAACTGACTTGGCCAAGGTCACATAGCTAGTAACGACACAGCCGTGGTGGAACTGGGGTTTTCTGTCTCCAGTGTACCAAGCACCTATGGCTGGGAACTGGGAGGTGCTGGGCTGGATGTGGAGGCTTCAGTTGGGTGTTAGTCAGCTGAGTAGGGGGTCTCAGAGTCCAAAGAGTGAGGCTAGGGATGGGGCTCCAGAGGAGAAGATGGGGAGCAAACGAGGTAGAGAGGAAGGTCGGGAAGAAAAAGCAATGTGGAGGGGAGGGCAGGAGAAATGGGGGAGTGGAGAGACTAGGAAGAGAGGTGAGAAGAAGCTGAAACGGAGGAGAGGTGAGGGCTTGCATTTGAGGCTGGATGGGAATGGGGCCACCATAGGACAGGCCACATACCCTGAGCAGGTGCAGCACTCAGGTGTGGGCAGGTACAGTAAGTACTTGATAAATGGAGACCTGAAATGACAGCAGGAAAGAGGGGCCCATCGTGTGAGAAAGATGGGCAAGGATCAAGGGAACCCTAGGTAATGGCTTATATCATCCAGCTGCACTGGACTTCTTTCTGCCATTCAAACATGCCAAGTTCATCGCTGCTTTAGGAGCTTTCCTGTTGCCTCTGCTCAGAATGCTGTTCTCTCTACCTGGAATGCTGGTCCCTCTAGCTGAAATGCTGTGCCCTCTGCTCAGAATGCTGTTCTCTCTACCTGGAATGCTGGTCCCTCTAGCTGAAATGCTGTGCCCTCTGCTCAGAATGCTGTTCTCTCTACCTGGAATGCTGGTCCCTCTACCTAGAATGCTGTGCCTTCTGCCTGGAACACTGTTCCCTCTCACTAGAACAGTTTTCTCTGCCTGGGCTGCTGTCCCCTGCCTTGAATACTGTTTCCTTTAGATTATGGCATGGTTGGTTCCTTTTGGACTCAGCTCCAATGTCACTTCAGCAGAAAGACCCTCCCTGACCATCCTGTATAAAAAGTAGCCTCTCCTGATTCCCGTTTTTCTCGGATCACATCTCCCTGTCTATTTCCTGCCACTATTTAGCACAATCTGAAACTACTTTGTTTATTTTTCATTGTTTGTCTCTCCCCACTGGAATGTTAGCAGGGCCTTTCCTTGCCTGTCTTGTTCATCAAGGTATCCCCTGCACCCAGACGACAGCTTGGCACAAACCATACATACTTGTGAGATGAATGAATGACTCAGTGGGGCAGAGGGAAGAAGTGACCAAGGCAGGAAGATGGAGGAGAGAAGTGGGAGTGGAGGCTGGGGGAGAGAAAGGAAGGAGGAGTAACCCAGGCCAGGGAGACAGACGGACAGAAACTTGGTGTGGGGAGGGTGCAGTGTGAGGCTGCTGCCACTAGATCAAAGGACACTACACCCGTGAGAAGCACCTGTGAGTGGTTGTGTGTGTGTTAACATACACACACACACTCTAGGGCTTTGCTATCCCCCAGTTCCAGTCTCTTTCCACCTCTGTTTTGGTCACCGTCTGTGTGTTTGTGTCACCATCTTCCCATCTGTCTCTTTGGTCACCGATTTGCTGTCTCACTTGTCCGTCTCCTCCTTCCATCTCTGTATATCCATGTTGTCTCCCCATCAACACACTCCACAAGGATGTTGGGGTCTGTGATACGGAAAGCCTGGACTTTGAGGGGCCCCGAGGAGGCCAGACTGAAGCTAGAGGTTTGGATTGGATGTCCCCTATCTCCGAGAAGGCTTCAGAAGGTACCCAGGGACTCTCCACAGTCTCACTGCATCCTTTTAAGCCTTCGAGAATCAATGAACAGTCAAGAGTAGAGAGCTTCAGTTCAAATCCAGGCACCACCACCCCATCAACTGTGTAATCTTGGACAAGTTACTTAATCTCTCCTTGTCTCCGTTTCCTTATCTGTCAGAGGGGGATAAGAATAGGACTTACCCCATGGGGTGGTTGTAAGGATTAAAGGGGAAGTTCAGAGCAGAGTAAGAGGCCTGCCCCTGGTAATCAGTACATATGTGTTAGACGTACATATGATTGTCTTCCTCATTTGCATGTGAGGAAGTGAGGCAGGAATTGTCTTCCTGTAACTGCAGAAAACTGCATCAGGGCACATTTGCCCATCGGCTTCCTGTACTCATTTGCCCAAAGCCTGTCTTCTTTGAGGCTGAGCCCAACTTCCTCCAGAAATGGAGGCTGTCCTTACTGCTGTGTGGCCATACCTCAGAGCAGGGAGGGCCCCCGAGGAGCACACGCCAGCCTGCCCTTTGCATAGGTGCTGGAGCTGGGGGCCAGAGAGGTGCTGAGGTATGCCTACGGTCACAAGGCAACCACGGGCTGGAACTCATGGCTTCCTGCCTGAGTTCTTCCCGCAGCTCCACAACATAGATGGGGGGCCCTTCTTACTGATTTTCTGCCCTGGCCGTGGGAGTTCAACAGCCTGGACGGAGCAGAGCAGGCTCTTAGGGGCCAGGTGGGAATAGGAGGACTGCTATCTCTCAGCAGGATGAGGGGTGGGGAAAGCATCTGGGATTTGCCACCAGACAGCCCTGGGTTCAGGCCAATCTCTGGCCTTATCTGCTGTGAAGCCTTAGGCAGGCAGCCTCTCTGAGCTCAGTTCCTCATCTGGAACATGGGGATGGAGGGACGAGGGTATAGCTAGAGCTCACTGGGCACTTAGTCTCTCTGGTGGCATCAGGCATCTTTTCTGGTTGGCCTCGTTGCCTCCCCCGACCGCTATTGCCGTTTGGGGTAGACAGCATGGTTGCTACCTTACACATACGGAAACTGAGGCTCAGAGAGGAGAAATCAAGCAACCTTTCTAGCTGCTGGCCTGGGACAAGCTATTTAGCCTCTTTATGCCTCAGTTTCCCCATCTATAAAAGCAGGTTATAATGCTACCCACCTCAGGGTGCTGTTGTAAGAATTAAAATCCACTCTTACTACTCTGATAAAAAAAAAAAAAAAAAATTCACTGCCATCGAGTCAGTCCGGACTCATAGCAACCCCTCCTTGGGTTTCCAAGGCAGTATCACTACAGAAGTAGATTGCCCAGTATTCCTTCCAAGGAGTGGTGGTGGGTTTGAACTGCCAACCTTCTGGTTAGCAGTCAAATGCCTTAGGCACTACGCCACCAGAACCCCCATAGAGCTATTCTGATAGAGCCTGGTGAAACCCTCGAGACTATGGCCCCTAGTTACCCTTCAGGCCTGGAATTAAGTTCACTCCGGTGGCTTCCAGCCAAACAGTAGACAGGCATATAGGGTGAACATTCACACTAGGTAGATACACTCCTAAGAAATGAGCAATCATGGGAGAACAGAAGGGCAGTAATTGCACAGGGAATAGCTCAGGGGGCAGAAATGCATAGGAAAGAAGGACACAGGGAACAGGTAACTACAGGGAGGAAGTAGGGAGAGAGTTGTTACATGGTGGGGAATTGCAGTCAATGTCATGAAACAAAATTTGAATGAACTCCTATATGGAAAATGAATTTGCTCTGTAAATTTTAACCCAAATTACAATAAAAATAAAAAAAAAAAAAAAAGAAAGAATTAAAACCCACTGCCGTTGAGTCAATTCCGATTCATAGTATCCCCATTGGGTTTCCAAGGTGGTAAATCTGTATGGAAGTAGATTGCTTCGTCTTGTTCCATGGAGCAGCTGGTGGGTTTGAACTGCCAACCTTCTGGCTGGCAGCCAAATGCCTTAACCACTACACCACCAGAGCTCCTTGTTGCAAGAATTAGATGGGTGACTATATACAGCATAGAAAGTGGTACCCAGCCCACTGTAACCTGCTGTGTGAATGTCTGCATGATCCGAAGCATGCTGGCCAGCGATCCTCACAGAGTTTTAATGAAGATTAAATGAGATACCAAGAATGGAAGACCTATGCAAAAAGTGCTATCAAATGATATTATGCTCGATTTTCAGGGCACGGAGCCCCATCCAGGTTGGGCCCTAGATGTGAGAGCTGGTGGCAGAGTCACCGGGAGGAGGCCGCCCTGGTCTCAAGTCCTAGAAGGGGCTGCAAGGAAGGCATATCCTAGATGCCACAGCTCCCAGGCCCCGCCCAGCCTGTGTGCCCTTGGGCAAGTCACTTACCTTTCCCCCTCTGACCTGTCCCCTGCTCTGTGAAATGAAGACAATGGTATTTGCTCAGCCTGTTTCAAAGGACTATGGGAGTGAGGCTCAAAAGGGATTATGGGTATAGAAGGGCTCGGAAAACCAGGAAGGATGACTAGTTCTCCTTGTAGATGTCTTACCAAATCAATCCCACGTGAGTCCCTCTCATTTCTTCCTCTCTCAGAGCCAAGTAAACAGGAATCCCACGACACCCCTGGGCAGAGTCTAAGGAAACTGCCCTGGGAACAACAGGAGAGACAGAAGAACTTCCTAAACTCTGTGACTCATAGCAACCAGTATGGAAAGGGGGGAAAAAAAAAAACAAACCCAGGCCTCCTGACCTGCACACAGCTGGGCTGAGAGCCGGGTGAATGAGTGAACTCAGAGAAAGTGCAGAGGAATGACCTTTGCCTCCAGAGGAAGGAGACCTCATGGGGCAGCTGGCTTTTTGAGGACAGAGAAGGGAGAGACCATCATGGAAGGCCAGTGGGTCCTCAGCGATGAGCCCAGCACCCCAGAGCCTCTCAGGGTCAAGGTGTGTCTTGGGTGGTCCTGAGTCAAGTGAAGCCAGATGTCCTGTCAGCATCTCCAACACCCACCTGGTTGTACCCCACCTTCTGGGGACAGCTGTGGGCAGAGGCAGAGGTGCTGCCCTTTCCAGGCAGCCATCTGGGGTTATGTGGAAATTAAATGCCCAGTGTCTGTGGGAAGAACCCTGAGGTTCCATCCGGGCAGGGGTAGGGTGAGAAGCTGGGTGCCTTCGGGAGTGTCTGACTGGAGGTCTCTGCGGTACTGCACGGGCTTTTCTGGGTTCTGTGGATTCTGAGTTTTTAGGGCTGTCTAGATTCCATCGAGGTCCCATCTGGCCCTCCCTAGGCTTCTGAGCTGGGTAAGAGCTGTCTCAGCCTGGCTGGGTTCTGTCAGTTGCTATGTGCAACCTGCTCGGGCCCTGTCAAGGTTCTCTGTGTGTTCTCTTCTTCTTAGATTCCAGCTGGTCCCACCCTAGGTAGGCTCTGTTTGGATGCTGTCTTGATGCCATTCAGGTCTGAGTTCTGGCTAGGTTCTTTCTGGAAATCAGAGTGAACTGTGTTTAAGTTTCCACTGGGGCTGAGTAGGGCTTCAAGGCGTAATTAAACTTGACGGGTTCAGTTTTGGCCCTCAGACCTCTGTCCCAAGCAGACGAGAGTCTGGAGCCAGGAGTGTGGAGTGCTGGGAAGCTTGCCTGGCTCTGAATGAGTGTGCAGACCGGAGGCTCATAGAGGAAATAGGCCAGGGCCTGCCTGAATGTCCCTAGGGTGCAGTGAACAGCTGTGTGTCCATGCATGTCAGCGTGTGGCTTTGCGGTGGGTCTGCGTGAGGGTGGGCGTCAGCATGTCAGTGTATCTCTGTGTGGGTGCCAGTGGGCCTATTTCTGTGGGCCTGCCTGTCAGCCCTTCTGTCGGTGTCACTGGTCTGTCTGGCGGTGGCGGTGGCAGTGGCTGTGTGGGTGGGTGAATCCCTTTGTGTCTCTCTGCACCCTGGGGGTGGAGTGCTGAGCAGCTGCAGGTTGCAATTGGGAAATCCGAGCAAGTGAGAGTAAGTGGGTGTGAAGTTGGAAGGGGCTGGATGTAAGGAGCGAATATTCCGAGAAGAGAAGAATCTGGAGGGGGCAGAGCGGCTGAGTGGAGGCGAGAGAGGGTGCGGAGGAAGATGCAGGGAGTGATGCAGGGAGTGAGGGGGGACCAGGATGCTGCCTGGGTCTCTCCACCAGCCCTCACTGGGCCTGGCTGTCCTTGCTTAACTTGGTGCCTGCCAGTGACCTTGCACAGGGGACGCGGCTGACTGAGTGGAGGCTGGAAGGGAAGAGAAGAGTAAAAGAAGGCTGGGGGTGGTGGCAGAGTGGTTCAGGCCCCTGGAACTCCATTCCAGACCCCTTCCAGACTAGAGCCAAAAGTATAATGCAGGATGACATTTCCAAACCAAACTCAACTGCCGTTGAGTCCATCCGACTCATAGGGACCCCTCCTTGGGTTTCCGAGGCAGTATCTCTACGGAAGCAGATTGTGCAATCTTCCTTCCAGGGAGTGGCTGCTGGGTTTGAACTGACATTAAGCTGGTTGTTAAAAAGTAAAATACCGCCATACTGGTTGATCAGTAACAACTGCCCCAACCGCACCCCCTACCTTCCGAGGGCAGCTCGGCCTCCACAGGGCTATGTGTGTTTAGAACATGCATCTTTCATGGGTTCCTGCCAAGATGCCCGTTGAGCTCACAGCTTCCCTGACCTCCAGGACTCTTGTTCCACAAGATACTCAGTGTTCATCGTGAGTGGTTATCACCCTTGCCGTTCACCCTGCATAGAACTCCTCCCAAGATGCCTTTTCTGAGCCTAGAGCTGGGAGCATATATGTGTGTGTGGTGGGGAGAGGGCCAGAGAGCTAGAGTGTCAGCCTTGGGGACCAGGGTAAGACCTGCCCATAGAGTCAACCTTTCTTTGCCTCCCAGGCAAAAGACAGTGATGATGAAGAGGAGGTGGTCCATGTGGACCGGGACCACTTTATGGATGAGTTCTTTGAACAGGTAACTGAACCTCCCAGTGTCCCCAGCCCCAACCCCTGGTCAATGGGTTCCTTCTTCCTGCCCCTCCCTTACTTCTGCTCCCTCCCTGGCCTTTCACCAACCCCTCTCTGCTCCTGGCCCCTGGGTGCCCTTGTCTGGCCCAGCGACTTGGTTGGGTAGAGCCAGTTTTCTGCCCCAGGTGGAAGAGATCCGGGGCTGCATTGAGAAGCTGTCAGAGGATGTGGAGCAGGTGAAAAAACAGCATAGCGCCATCCTGGCTGCCCCCAACCCAGACGAGAGTGAGTGCTTCCTGTCAGAGGGCTGGTGGGGCAGGAGAAGAAGGGGTCTGGGTCCCACCAGGCTTCTCATGTGCCCTTCCTCTTCCCCCAGAGACCAAACAGGAGCTAGAGGACCTCACTGCAGACATCAAGAAGACGGCCAACAAGGTTCGGTCCAAGTTGAAAGGTGAGGAATGTAATCCCCTGACCAGGGAATGAAAGAATTTGGCTCCCCATTGGACAGAAAAGTCCTTATGGAAATAAGGGACTGTCTATAAAGTTCCATGAGCCAAATTCCTGAACAATGAGAAAGCACCAAACCCTAGATTCCCCCACCCCTTTGCTCCAGAGTCTGGGGAAATGAGAGAGGGGAGGGTTTCTGTCCAAATAGGTCCTGAGCTCTGTTGGTTCCATCAGCATGAAACCAGCGTTCATCTACCAGAAAAAATACCGTGTCTTCCAAGTGACTTTGGTTTCGTTAAGCCCTCATTTCCCCAGAAATAGTGGGGATAATGCTTAGTGCCCAGCATTGCACTAAGAACCCAGCAGGTGGGCTCAGCAAATGCTTCTGAACTGGTGGCCTTAGCTCAGGACAGATTGGACTGTGTGGCTGACATCAGGGGCTGGCAAGCTTTCAGGTGGGACCTGCCAATTGCTCATGTATTCACTCTAATTTAAGGACCTGGGTGCTGGTAATAACTACCCTGCCCCAAAGCATTGTGGGTTGGAAACCTCCTTGTCTGCCGGCGCCAGGGGAATAGCAGTGTTGCTGTGATGCTAATTTGTAGGCTCACAGTAATTCAGCATCAGAAAACATTTACCAGGCACCTAGTCCCAGGCACATTGCTAGGCTCTGGGGAAAAGGCGCTATTCCAGACAGCTGGCCCTGAGTGCCCTGACCTTGGTCCAGGAAGATGGGGGCATGAACTCCATGTCCTCCTGGATTCATGGGGAGACCATGTGTGAACCTCTAACGGTGATTTGTAAAAACAAACACCCTTTGCACTCAGGAGAATTTGCTGGAACGGAACATCCTCTAAGCTGGGAGCACATTAAGTTCAAACCTAGGCAGAGAGTGCAAAGTCCACCATCAGTTCACTCCACACAGGTCCTCTGCCCTCAGCTTTCTCATTAGTATGGAAGGAAAATCGAAGCCAATTCAAAGCTGAGGGTTTTTTCTTTTTTTTGGAAATAAAATGTTTTTTCCAAATGAAACTTTACAAAGGACTCTAATATGTACAACAGATAAAACGCTGTTGTGGCTGAACCGGGGTTGGGAAGCCCTGGGGTTCCTTCTTGGAAGTAGTTCTGTGCAACACAGTTTCAAAACCTCTAGACTCAGTGATCTCTTTGGACTCGCTCAGCTCTGACCTTGAACACTCCCCATAAAACCATGAGGGACCCCTGGTTCAGGGGTCAAGAATGGGCCAAGAAAGAAGCCAGGGAGAGTGACAGTGGCTCAGAGAAGGTGACCTTCCACGCCTCCAAGAAAACAAGGTTCTTCTCCATCCTCCTCCAGCTATATCGTGGCATGACCTTAGCCATTGTGTGTGACCTTGACTGAGGTATAATACCCCAATGTGAGCTTCAGTTTCCAATCTGACACGCAGGCTGATGTCGCTGAACTCCCAGGATTATTGTAACAATCAACGAGACCAAGTAACAGCCCTCTTCCTCCCTGGCTTGGGCCCACCCAAGTCTGGCAGCGGGGTCTCAACACATGCTGACACCCCTGGGTGTGTGTCCTAGTGCTTTTCCCAAAGTGGATGGGCCAGAGCTATTACTCAGCCACGGTGCCCGGGCTGCTAGGAAGGAAGCCACGGGGCCATCCAGCCCGGTACCTCCCCCGCTGCCCGCAGAACAGAGAAGTGATCTTCTCCAGAATGGCCTCAAGGCCCTGTGAGGTCTGAGAAGGCCTGGTGATTGGTGATTCATCCCCGCTGCGTATGCCCAGCATAGTAGATTTTAGCACAGCTTTTTTTTTTTTTGAAGAAAACCTGAATGGTAGTATCAGGAGTGATGTTAGGGAAGCAAGAATCCTAGTTAATCTGCGTTTTCTAGAACATCCTTTAGAAGTGGGATAACCCGGCGATCACCTTGCTGGGGGGGGGGAAGGGCTGTTTCCTCTATTGGAACCTCCATCTGTTCAACGTAGAATTTTCCAAAGAAACAGTGCCTACTAGAATCCCCCGGGGAAGTGTCTACCTTCCACTAGAAAAAAAAATCCCAGGCTGCGTCCATTGGCACTTCTAGAGGCATTAAAAGGGGAGAGCCTCTTAGACGCACAGAGCCCTCCAGTGGACTGGGCCCACACCCCTCCAGGGTTGGCGGGGGAGCATTTACTGCCCATGGGACTTTCCAGGACTCAGTCTTTCCGCCAGAATAAATAGCCCCTTCTGTCTGGTGACCTACGAACCTCAGGCTCTCCCTTCCTTACTTGCCTTTGGAACCAACTCAAACATCTGTCCCTTACACGCTGGCCTCTTGCACCCTCACCCCGGTTCCTCTAATGCTCGCCCTCTTCATGCGTGTGCCATGTCTTCGCGGGCCTGAGGGCTGCCTCGGGGTGTCGGCTGGACCCTGCCGCACATGCCCGGGTGTCCGACCAGTGCCCTCGTACTCTCTTCCCTAGCGATCGAGCAAAGCATTGAACAGGAGGAGGGACTGAACCGTTCCTCTGCGGACCTGCGCATCCGCAAGACCCAGGTAGGAATGGCAGCCAAGCGAGGTGAGCAGAGCCCTGGTTGTTAAGGCTGACTTCTGCAAGGGCGGGACCCACATGGGGGCGTGGTTAGGGAGGAGCTCCACCCGGGGAGGGGCTAAGAGGAAAGTGGGCGTGGCCGCATCCTAGGGCCCTTGCTGGGTCGCCACCTGGTTTAGGTCAGGGTGCAGGTGCCGAGTTAAGGGGCTGCGAACTTCTGTGAGGTTGGAATGGGCAGCCCAAGCTGAAGAAGGGGTGGAAGGCTGGTTCAGCCCACATTCCCCAACGGTACCCCTCCTGGGCCTACTCACCCCCTCTGTTCCCTCCTGCCTGACTCCCTGTTGTGTCTGCCCCTCCCACCGCCTCAGCACTCCACACTCTCCCGGAAGTTCGTGGAGGTAATGACAGAATACAACGCGACTCAGTCCAAGTACCGGGACCGCTGCAAGGACCGGATCCAGCGGCAGCTGGAGATCAGTGCGTGTGTCCCAAACTCCCCAGGCCTGCCCCAGCCCTCTTCCAGACTACAGCCTTCCCTCGCCTAAGGCCAGGTGGGAGGGCGGGCTCCCGGGTCCCTGCCACGTCCCACCACCTCAGGCCTCAGGCTGGGCCAGCCCCTGAACAGGGAGTCCTTTTTCCTGGCAGCCGGAAGGACGACGACCAATGAAGAGCTGGAGGACATGCTGGAGAGCGGAAAGCTGGCCATCTTCACGGATGATGTGAGCCCTTGGTGGGGGATGGGGTCTGCTTTGGGAAAGCACTCCTCTCTCCTCCCTAAACCCAGGTTGAACTCAAGGGCCTAAAACCATCCTGGAATAACATGCAGCCTTGGACTGGGAACTGGGGAAATTCCATGAGGGCAGGGCAGGAAGGCACCCCCATGATAACGGCAAGTCCACATTCACTGTGTGCCAGGCACTGTTCTAAGCATTTGACATATACTGACTAATCCTCCCAACAACCCCTCGAGGGAGCCGCCTTTCACAGATGTAGAAGACTGTGGTCCAGAGAGATTCAATAACTTCCCAAGGTCTCCGAGCAGAGCAGAGCCACCGTATGGGTCCACCGGGTCTAGTTCAGGGTCAGTGCCCTTAAGTACTAAGATTCTCTGCTGACTCCCTCACTGGGGTGAGGTGCATTACTTCAGCAAGTGACTAATTTGCCTAAATTTTAAAGATTGAAAGAAACAAGTTGTAGTTTCGATGAAGCTTTTGCCCACTGCCTTGGGCCTGTCATTTTATATGTGAATAGATGGACTTTCCCCTAACCAGAGTTCTTCCTTCTCTTTTTTGACTTTTGGCCTGGCCTGCCCAGTCCCGTATCTGTTTCTGTTTCTAGTGGCAAAATGGCTCCGGTTAAGGGTTCTAGGCTAGGTTTGAAGTGTGTACAGTCATTGGCTAACAATTTTCAGCAAATTGTTATTTGAATAAGTCATCTTCATTAAACTGACTTTTTGAACAGATTGATTGTGGGCCAGTTACCCAGGAGACCCCCAGACAGTTTTGCCCCTGCTATCTGTCTGTCTGAGAATGGCGGGCAGCCTGGTGGATGGTTCCAAGAAGAGAAACTTTGATGGACAAGGGCTGACCCCTGCCAGTTAGCCTACCTTCATACACTAGAAACTCAACGTTATAATGCAAGGTGGTATGGACTTTGGCCAAGGGCTGTGCAAGCCAAAGATGGGGGACCCTGAGATGGTAGCTGAGAGTGATTAACACTGGAGTCGGGAGGCTTCCTGGTGGAGGTGACATTGAGCTGTGCTTTGAAGGACAAGGAGCATTTGGACATGGGGAGATGGATAAAGGGCACAGAATGAATAAAGGTAGGGAGAATGGACCCCTTGCCAAAGGGCCCCTGGATGGTTTTCACTTTTAAAAGATGTGTGGGACATGGAACAGTTAGTTCAAGGGACTAGTGGACCATGAGAACCTCAGCCTATATGACCATGAGACCAGAACTAGATGGTGCCTGACTACCACTGTCAACCTCTCAGAAAAGGATCAGTGCAGGAGATCCTGGATAGAATGGGAGAACAATGTGGAACAAAACTCAAAATCATAAAAAAAAAAAGACCAGGTTACTGGTCTGTTAGGGCCTGGTGAAACCTCTAAGACCATGGCCCCTAGTTACCCTTCAGGTCTGGAACTAAAGTCACTCCTGTGGCTTCCAGCCAAACAATAGACAGGCATCTGGGATGAACATTTGTATCAGGTAGATACACTCCTTGGAGTGATCAGTCTTGAGAGAACAGAAGGGCAGTATTTGCACAGGGAGATAGCTCAGGGGGCAGGAATGCATAGGAAAGAAGGACACAGGGAAGAGGTAACTATGGGGAGGAAGTGGGAAGAGAGCTGTTACATTGTGGGGAATTGCAGTCAATGTCATGAGACAAATGTGTATGAACTGCTGTATGGAAAATGAATTTGCTCTGTAAACATTCAGCCAAATCACAATAAAAATAAAATAATAAAACAAAAGTGCGGGAGATGAAGCCAGAAGGGGAGCCTGGATCTTTGCCCCTTCCCTGGGCTCACAAGGAGCCTGGTGTGGTGTGGTGTGGTGTGTGTGTGAAGTGGTGTGTGTGCATGTGTGTGACAGATAAGCTTCATTTCTTATAGTTTAACATAAACTCTGTAGAGCGTACTGTGTGCCGGTACTGTTGTTATCAGTGTACAGACATGAACTCACTGAGGTTTCACAGACGTCTTATGAGCTGGGTGCTAGGCCGCTGATACCCACCCTTTCCAGGTGGGGAAACCAAGGCCCAGAGAGGTTAACTAAGTTGCCCCGTGGTTACAGCTAGTCAGTGAAGCTGGACTGGAGCCCAGGCACTCTGGTTGCAGAGGCCAAGTTCTTAGGCAAAGGGTGGGTGGTGTGCAGCTCTCTCTCCATTTCTCACCGCCCCAGATCAAAATGGACTCGCAGATGACGAAGCAGGCCCTGAACGAGATCGAGACGCGGCACAACGAGATCATCAAACTGGAGACCAGCATCCGCGAGCTGCACGACATGTTTGTGGACATGGCCATGCTCGTGGAAAGCCAGGTACCGGCTCTGCCACGCGCGCGCGCAAGCACGTAGGGCACCCTGGGCAGCGCCTGAGGCGCTCCCAGTTGGGGGGGCGTGGCTCTTCCAGCCCAGGCCCCGCCCCTCGCCACGGGCCGTCTCCTGGGTCTGCAGGGTGAGATGATTGACCGCATTGAGTACAACGTGGAACATTCTGTGGATTACGTGGAGCGGGCTGTGTCCGACACCAAGAAAGCCGTGAAATATCAGAGCAAGGCCCGGAGGGTGAGTCCGGATCGGCCGTCTGGTGGGGGCTGGCGGGCTGGGAGCCGGGTGGGCGGGGCCTGGGCTCTGAGGTGAGTGATGAAATCAGGTGAGGCACCTTATCTCTGGGTCTGACCTCTTCCTATTTCTGTTTTCTCTTCCCTCTTCCTCACACCCTCCTTCCCTATTTTTTGTCCCTATCTGTCTGTCTGTCTGTCTGCCTCCCTCTCTCTCTCTCTCTCTCTCTCTGCTCTCCACCTCCCCATCCCCTTTCTGGCCTGCAGAAGAAAATCATGATCATCATTTGCTGTGTGGTGCTGGGGGTGGTCTTGGCGTCGTCCATTGGGGGCACGCTGGGCTTGTAGACCCCACGGCCCCATCTCTCCCAGACCCCTCCCCCACCACATTGGGAGCAATACCCCCACCGTCCCTTTTACTCCACCTCCTGCTCCAGGCTCACCCCCAAGACAGACCCAGGCAGCCCCACCCCTTCCTCCACCCCCCACGTCAGACCCTGGAGTTCCTGGTCCCCACCCTGACATGGACCACTCCACCTGTCCCCGCACGTAGATAGCAGCAGGCGTGATTACACATGCACACCAACATGCATGCCGCCAGCACATGCTTGAGACGTGCGGACACCCCAGCGTGTGCGTGTACGTGTGTAGATGCACCACATTGCCCCTCCTGCCCCACCTCACGTCTGTGTGTGGCCTGATTTCCCCCGGGGTGTTGTGTAGACTGTGGTCGAGTATAACACAGCAGCCCACTGAGTCCTGCTCTGTCTTCTGTGTGTGTGTGTGTGTGTGTGTGTACACAGATCCATGGACATAACATTTGTGTACGTGGAATTTTGTGTTTGAGCGTCCGAATCTAATGCAACAACACTCCCTCCACAGACACCCCCCACCTGTGTCTGCCACACATGGGGCAGGCTATGTGTACAGTTGCTCCCACTCACAGTCTTAGAGGATCCAGTCTGCCCAGATGCACGCAGGCCATGGTGGACACCTAGCAGGATGTGGAGTGGAGCAGACATTTCTGGGCTGTTGTGTGTCCTGGGGACAGAGTGAGCGTGTGTGTGTGTGTGTGTGTGTGTGTGTGGTGTGAGCCTCTGGGGTTCAGCCAAAGTGGGTGGACGCATCCACGTGTAACTAACCCAGCTCAGCATGTATATGTGTACATTTCCCCCAACAGGTGGCAGAGACTGGTGTGAGGGCACGTGTCTCAGGAGGGGCTTGAAGTGTTGATAGGCCTTCTCCCCTCCACACTGTATGCTGGACATCTGTTTTGGGTGGGCACAGAAATCCATATTTCTATGCTGTCTAGAATCCACCAGTGTGAGTGGGGGGCTTTCTAAATAGTGTGTTTCTGTCTCCCTGTGTTCACTGCATACCTGCAAGTGTGTTTAAGGATATGTAACCCATCCAGGTTTGTATGTCTGTATTTATTTACTTCCCCAACCCAAGAGCTGCTTCCCAGTGTGTGGTTATGAGCACACATGCTGACCCGTTCGTGTTGGGCACCTGGGGCTCCCTGCCCTGCCAGGCAGGAGTCAGGAGCTCCAGCACCCATGCCCAGGTCCTTATCTTCTCTGTGTCTCTGCCCGTGAAGAGGCTGGTGCCATGAAAGCTGGGGCACCTCAGTGCCCTCCTACATGCCCAGGCTGAGGAGGACCCGTGAAAGTGACCATATCCAGACACCCAAATACATGGCTGGAACACGTGAGCATGTGACATCGACATGGTGACTCCAGCCCCACACCCACGTGTACACATGTGTCTCCTGGAGGGGCTTTTTGTGAAAATGTTACTGATAAGGCGAGTTGTGGAGGGCTGTCCCAGGCAGATCAAAAATGAAAGCATGACCCCTTCCTGCCAGTGCCACTCCCCATACCTGGGAGAGGCCACTGTTTGGCCCCACTGCTCCAATCTGACTCCCTCTGGGCTCTGTCTCGGGGACCTTGGGTTTGGAGGATTGTTTCTTTCAGATGTGCTGGAGTGGCTGGGGTGGCAGCAGCCACTCAAGGCAGGCTAGGTCCCATCCCCTGGACACGTCTCCTGCTAAAAGGTCAGTACTAGAAGCTCCCCGCAGCAGGGGGAGATTGAGGGTTGACTCATTCTGGGTTTCTAATGGTGAGGAAAGAGCTAGATCCTCTCTCATCGTGTAGCACACCTGCACACGCTTCCACATTCTTTGGCCGTGCAGATGGGCTTGTGTTTTCGGTGGCAGGTAGGAGGTACAGAGGGCCAAGGACAATGTTAGAATATGGACTCACATACCAGTTGAACACATGTCCATGAAATATGTAAGGTCCCTGGGTGGTGCAGACAGTCTAGTAACCCAAAGGTTGCCTGTTCAAACCCACCCAAGGGCACCGTGGAAGATCAGGCCTGATGTGTGGCTTCTGTAAAGATTGCAGCCAGCCTGACTCCGGTGACTGAGGAGTCTCCCCAAGTGCAAGTGAATATATAAACAAATGCTTCAACAAGTACCTGAACGTGCCCTGCGCTGGGGTGGGGTGTGTGTGTGCACAAGGTGAGGGACTCGAGTGTGTGTGTGTGTGTGTGTGTGTGTGAGTGAACACATGTTATTTTCCAGACATGATGCCCCTCCCCCCCTCCCCCTGGCTCTGCCCACCTCTTCCCTGTCCTTCCCCGCGCTGTGTGTCAGTGTGGCCACGTGTGTGACCCCCCAGGTTGGCTGTCCTGAGGAGGGCGGCCAGCCCATCCATTGCCAGAACGCCCTTCTGAAGACAGGAAGTTTGCCCTGGTGTCTGATGCCAGGTCTCTCATTACTATCTCAGGCTCCTTTGGGGACATCAGATCGGGCCCCCGCATCCCCCACCTTCCTTCCTGCCACTCAGTCAGGACCCCTTTTCAGCCCCCGTGCTTACAGAAGTCTCACAGCCTTGGGGCCACAAGAGTGGAGCTGTGGCTGGAATGACATTACTGCCTCCTTAAGTAGCAGTAGAGCCATCTGCCAGCTGCCTGACTCTGGGCCTCAGTTGGACCAGGGGACCCTGAGGGTCTGCTATGCGCTAACATTCCTCGAGCCCCACACATCGGATGGTGTGTTTGGTTGTTGGCTGCTGTGTGTATGTGTGTGTGTGTGTCCTAGAGCACTGTCTGGGGGCTGGTGTCTTTTGCATGTTCTTGGACAAGTGTGTGCTGTCCACCCTCCATGTACCTACAACCATCAAGTCCATGTGTGTCCTGTGGGTGGTCCTGGGCCTGGCCAGAGCTCTATGCTCCCCTCTGCCCTTAGTCCCAGCCATGCCCCTCACAAAGCACACTGCGTGTCCATCCCATGTGGCCGTGGGTTGATGCACGCTCTCGCCACGCCTTGAGCGTGTACATATGATAATGTTCTATGCATTCCCCCTGCCTCCTTCCAGCCTGCCCCCCAGAGGACAAGATGGGTGGCCCCTGCTCCCTTCTCCTCTGCCCACCCCTTGCCTGCTGTGCAGCTGTACGCGTTGGCGTGTGTTTCCGTGTCGCTGGCGTGTCATGTGATGTAGCCGTGTTTGCTGACATGAGCCCCTGCCCCCTTCTCCATTTCTCCGTTGGTTTATAGCGCTGTCTCCCTCCCTTCCCTGGAAGGGACAGGACTCCTGGGACCTGGCTGGGGGCCCAGGGCCAGGTCACCCTCTCGTTAGCCCTCAGAGCCCCATTTCTCTCTATTGGTGACCAAGTTGCAAACGGATAAAACAGGAAAATTCTGCCTTTCCCCCCCCGGCCCTGCATGTCCTGTCCCCAGAGCCCTCTACCCCCACCCTGGGCCAGGTTGGGCCCCGTGGGATGGGAGAAATAGCAACCAATCCAACAGCGGGTTTGCCGTGTGCTCACATCTTTCTGTCCCCACTGGGACAGGGCGCCGTGGGGAGGGACAGACGCCGTGGTGGTGGATAAGACGCGGAGCTGGGCAGGCACATGGACACAGGCTTGGAAGAGGAGTTTTAATCTAAAGCTTGACCAGGTGCAGCGTTAACGGGCATCTGCAGGCAGAGCCCCCACACTGTTACAGGAACTGAGTTTGGGAGGAGAGGTGGGAGGAAACTGAGATGCATTGGTTTTCTTAGCTTTCGTCAAGGGCAATTAACAGATAAATGTGTCAAGGTGATAAGTTTTCAAAAATAATGGGAATATGACCCCCACCCCCTGGGACGAAGGTGGAGACAAGGGCCAGCTTCACTCTGAATCCTGGCCTGAGGGTCATGCTGGGCGCCAGGAGGCCAGCATGAGCCCTGTGGGACCCTTGCCCACTTCCTGCCTGAAAAGCCAGCAGTGGCCTGGGGCAGTTGAGGACTCCAAGGGAGCCAGGCTGTCTCCAACCAGCCACCAGGCCTGGGTTGAAAGTGAAGCCTCCCTGCCCTAGAATTTGGAGACATCTGGACAACACGTCTCAGGGCTCAGAGATTTGAAAACAGAGGACACTAGGCTAGCCGATCCCACTGCAGACCTGGGCCTCCAGCTCTGGCATGTAATCCTCCTCAGCCAGGGTTTGGAGGCTCAGGGTCCAGGCCCCACCCTCACTGGGCTGAACCCGTGGTCTGCACCCAACGAATGGTTCGGCTCCGGCTGTCCTCCCAGGAGAACAGGGGCTCGTAACCAAAATGGCGCTGTGCTTTGTCGGTGCTGACGGTGAAGGTGGTATTGGCCATGGCCAGCGTGTAGGGGTTGAGCAGCGGTGCGTAGAGCAGCAGCGGCCGCAGCAGCCACTGCAGCAGAGCATTGAGGGCCGCCAGGAACACCAGCAGCCAGTAGGGCACCAGCGGGCGAGTGCCCACCAGCCGCAGGCCGCAGGGGCCCAGAAACTCCATGTTGAAGTCCTCGTAGCTCTTGTAGGGTGAGTTGTCATAGCAGAAGTACGTCTGACCACCCATCAGTTCCTCCCGTTTCTCCAGCTCCCGGGCCACCAGCACATGCATCCAAGCCACGTTGCCTGACAGTGGGAGGAGGGAGACATGCCCCTTAGTGTCCTTGAGACCATGTAGACAGTGCTTTCTCCTGGGCCAGCCTAGGTGCATGCCACGTCCTCTTTGGGCCCCTGCAGGTGCTGCCCACATAGACAAGCTCGGTGAAGGTTGCCTTTTCCCTACCCCCTGTAGCCACTTGTTGTCTTGGGCCAGGGTGTATGGGTGCTACCCCTTTTTCAGGGCCTGTGTGGATGTTGCCTCTCATCTCCCGGGGAGATGCTGCCTCCATGACTGTAATTCTCTCTTCAGCCTACGATACACTTTTTAAGTCACTCATCCCAAGTTGCATAAGTGTATTTCTTCATGGTCTCTATGTAGGCCCCTAGATGATCCATATCTAGCCAGTATATTTACTGCTCCTCCCGGGACCACATGGCCGTGTCCACACCCAGGTAGATCCTCCTGCCCTGTTCTTGGCCTCCCCCACATGGCCCAGGCCTCACCCACGTAGACCCGGCCATGCTCCACGGAGGCCGGGATGGTCCGGAAGAGCCGACAGCCCAGGCGCAGGCCCTGGTGGTAGAAATCTCTTATGATCTGGTGACCTTCGCCGTAGATGCCCGTGGGGCGCAGGGCACACGTCACCAGGGGCAGTCCCCCGTGGACCTGGTGGCAAAAGGCAGGCGCTGCTAAGAACAAGGACCTAGTGGTCTGTTCCTGCCCTGGCATCCTTGGGCTGGAGATGGAAAGGAGGAGTCCCAGGGAGGATACAGGAAGCCTGAGTGGGCCCCCAGCCCCGCGTCTGACCGGCTGAACCCCCGAGCAGTCCCGCGGACCCTTCATCTCTCCACTTTGCTTTCTCCGGCCGCACCTTCCTTCCATTGGCTTCCAGGACCAGCCGCTCTGCCAGGGCCTTGCTACGAGGGTAGGGATGTGAATGTACTGCTTCATACGGCGTGTCCTCATTGCCTCTAGTGGGGGAAGACGGAAGACTTAATGTGGAAGGGAGAGGGAGCTCTTAAAGTATGTGGGGGAATCTCTACTCACCTGTAGAAGGGGTGGCCTCTGGTGTTGGGCCCCACGACTTCCATGCTGCTGGTATAGACCAAGAACCGTGTTCCGGTCTGGACACAAGCGTCAATCACATTCTGCGTCCCTGGGGTGGGGGCGGGAAGAGGTGTATCCAAGCTGAGCCTCCTTCCCTCTGCATCTTCCTCCCCATCCCAAGTCTAGATGAAAGCTCACGGCTCCTTCCCCAGGTCCGGGGAAAAACGACAGCACATAGGTGAGGGCAGGGCTGTCACCCACATGGGAGAGTCATGAGAGGCCAAGGCCAAAAAAGGGCTGGAGAACAAACATCTCAGGCCAGGTGCCAGGGCGAATAAGAGCAGGTAGGAAGCAGGCAGGGCCCCTCACCCTGCACATTGACGTCGTAGATGGTCTTGGTACTGGACCTCCCAAACACGTCCACCAACCCAGCTGTGTGGATGACCACGTGGGCTCCGGCCACAGCTGCTTCCACTTCATGGGCCTGGGTCACATCCCCCTGGATGGCAGTCACCTGCACTGGGCCTGGTGAGGGATGGGGGCGGCCAGAGGCCCTGTCAGAACTAGGCCAGAGACCAGCTGCTGGGTTCAGCCTACACCCTTGGGAGCCATCCGTTCCCACTGTGACTCATTCGTCCCATCCATGTGGACTGGAACAAAAACAGGCATCACTGTTTCCACCACAGGGATGGGAATCCCAGCTAGGGAGGCGCTGGGGAAGGAAGTCCCCGTCCCCTCCCCTAGTCCCTCCACACCACATTCACCTGTCTTCAGCTCCTCCAGCCAGGGACTCAGGTGCAGATCAAAGACCCGCAGCTCACGGAGGCGGGGCTCCCGCTGCAGCAGCATCTGCACCACGTGTTCCCCCAGGAAGCCACAGCCACCTGTGACCAGGTACACCAGCTCCTGGGCCTGTGCAGTGTCTGCCATGCTGGACTGGGGGAAGCCCTGGCTCGCCATCTGCCACTTCTGGAAGGAGGCCTGCTGGCCTAGTGGATCGGAGCAGAGTGACTCAGGGCTAGAGCTGTCCCTAGAGGTCACAGCAGCCAGGCCACTGACCTCCAACCTGGCCTACTAGAGTTGCTGAGATAAGGCCCTGGGTGCAGGAACCAGTAAGGGTTTGAGTGGGTGGGAAGGGGCTCTGGGGCGAAAGAGTAGGGTAGGGAGGCAGGGAGCTGGTGAAGCCAGGGTGAGTATAGGAAGGTGGGAAGGGCTGGGACTAGGGAGCCCCGGCTCCTGTCACCTCTGCCTACCTGCAGCCACTGCGCCAGAGTGCCCAAACTGGGTACTGGAGGGACAGTCTTTCTCTTCGCAGTCGCCTAGGCCAGTTGGCCAGGGACACACCTTCCTCCTTCCGTTCGCTCCTCCTCCTCCCTCCTGGCCCATTCCAGGAACAACCAGCCAGCCCAGCCTCCACCTCTCCACGCCCCACTGGAGGGCGCCCCCTAGCAGCCGCTGGTCTACTCTGCCAGCCCCCGGTTGCCCCCTAGTGACCACTGGGCCATTCTGCAAGCCGTAGGCAACCAGCTCCAGCACAGAACTCGGGGAAGCGAGGCGGAGAACCACAATCTGCTGGGGGGTTTCGGGGCTGCAGGATGGAGCTGGCAGGGTGACTCGTTCCCACTGCATGACCTCAGTGCTTCCCTCCTGCTGGATTTCCCAGGAGGCCAGGGGCCCAGCAGCAGCTGCGGTTCTGGGAAGGGAAGGAGGCGTGACCTTGGCATGGCTCTGGCTGGCCTTGATGGGGGATTTCTGGTGTGGCTGTCAGGTGCCTGGGTCTGAAGGTCTGGCCTCTTGCCCTCTACCCACCCCGAGTTCCAGGCCGTCTGTTTCTCCCTCTTCAGCATGTGCTACCCTGCAGTCCTGAATCCCTGTTCCACTCCACTCGTCCCAAAGATACTGACCATGCACTTTTGTACAATAAAGTTTAATCACAATTATAAAAATGTGGCATTGGGTTTGCGCTATTAACATATGTACAGTCCAGCCCAACAGGAAGGGCCCACCTCCCACCCCCCTGGCCTGGCTGAGCCAGGGGACTCAGACACCAGGGGGAGGATGACCCACAGGGGCTGGCAAGAACTGAAGATGAGGCAGGGTTCCAGGCACGGAGTCCCCCAGGACTGGGGGCGCAGGGCCCCCCCAGGGGGAGAACATGGCCACTGCCCCTAGAGACCCCTAAACTGGGGAGGGGTACACACAGGGCACAAAGGGGAAGTCCCCATTAACACAAAGCATGGGGGCTGCGTAGCCTCCCAAGAACAGGATCTGTACAGGCCGGCACCCCAGGTTTCCACAGGAAACAGCTGCTGGCAGCTACAAACATTTACAGCTTCTTCTCCGCAAAGAAAAAAAATTAGAGGATGGGTGGGTGGGGCGACAGGGGAGGCAAAGGCTGCCTCAAGGACTGAGGCTCCCTCGCTGGCCGCGGCGGGCCCCTAGCGCCACCTGGACATGGGGCGTGTGGGCCCTGCTGAACCCACTAAGGCTAGGGGTTGCTGGGAGCTCAGGGCGCCACAGGAGAATAAATAGGGGTGTGGGCACCAGTCCTGCCCCGTCTCAGTTGAGGGAGCCCCGGCAGCTCTCGGTGCCGCACAAACATGGGATCTTGTTGTCCTCCAGCGGGAACTTGTAGTCGTAGGTGATCTCCTCGTCCACGCCGATGGGCTGCTTGGAGTAGATCACGATCTTCTTCTGCGACTCGATAGTGATCACCTTGGCGTAGCAGTTGGGCTGAAGGGGGGAGGCAGTGTGAGCTGGGGGCCGCCCTCCCCGCCCACCCGCAGCCCCACCCGGACCCCAGCGCACCGTGCAGCAGTGGTTGATGAACCTCGCCAAGTTGCCGCACTTGGTTGCATCAATGATGGTGTCGTGGTCGACCCGGAACAGGTAGCTGCTGCCGATGCCCTCCTGCACATAGCGTTTCTCCCGCATGTCGGCTACCATCTGCCAGGATGGGATGAAACAGTCAGGGACCTGCCCCTCAGTTTCCTGCTAGACACGGCCTGACCCACCAGCCCCTGTGACAGAGGCCTGGACAGTCTGTCAGCTGTTAGCCCAGGGCCCACACTGACCTATCCTGCTCCTGCCGTGCTCCTCCGGCCCCACTAACCCAGGGCAGTGCCTCCCCTGGCTGCTTCCAGCAGTCCTCTCTCATGGTCACCCTGTGCCTGCGGCTGCCATTAACTCCCCCAGACAGGCCTCTGGGTGTCGGCACTGGGGTACTAGGCAGAAGCAGCCCTGACTCTTCCGGGACTGGCTGCCGGGCCTGCACCAGCGCTCCCACGCTGCTGTGGCTGGAGCTGTTCCTAATGTAACAGTGGCCATCTAGGAACTGAACCCTACTCATCTCTTCTATCAGGAATCTCTCTGCAAAAACAGGTACCACTGGCTGCCTCTGGCCAACGCAAAAGACCACTTGTCCAAGCCAGGGCTTGTATGAGAAGGAGCAACTTTGATTTCCCATAAAACCGGGGCCAGTGAGCCCTCTGCAAGCCCTCCTGGGGTGATCTCACTCCATCCAGAACTTCACCCACAAGCTAAACGTTGGGGACTCCACCCAAACGTCCATGTCCAGCCAAGATCCACCTCAGTGGAGCTGCTGGGCGTCAACCCTTAGCTGTCCCCTGGGCATCTCAATCTCACATGTCCACGTTGGAACTCATCTGGATCACACATCTGCTCCTCCTCCTCACTATCCAACTCACTGGCAGCCCTACCATGCTCCTTGCTGCTAAAACTAGCCCCCTGAAGAACAGTCTTGGCTCCCCCCTTGCCCTCTCTCCACAACCAAATCGTGGCCTGGTCCTGCCAATGCCCTTGGACCTACACACTCTTTTCTATTACTTCTGGTACCACTGCCTAGTCCAGGCCACTGTCGCCTTTGGTCTCAGTCTCTGCAAGCCCTGCCCCTCCACTGGTCTCTACCTCTGTCGCTCCCTCCACACTGCAGCCAGGGAGCTAGGAACCTACCTCCAGAGTCTTTGGCTTTAATGCGTCTCAGGGGCCTTGGTCTTCTCTGACAGGCCCAAATTTATCACCATGGCCTCCGAGGTCTATGGAACCTGGCCTCCAACTGCCCCTCCAGCCTCACACTGCTGCCACTGATCCACCCCGTTTTTCCAACTAGCCATTCTGATCTCTTTGCACTCACAGGCTATCTGCCTCCAGGCCTCTGCACAGCCCGCCCCTGCATCCCAGTGCACACCTCCATTCATCGGAGCTGAAGAGTTCTTAATCTTCTTTCAGCAATTGGTTTAAATGTCACTGTCTCCTCTTGGGTCCCCTTGGTATGTGCTCCCACGCCCTCCCCTCTCCAAAGGCCCCCCTAACATCAATCAAACACCATCCTTTGTCCCCGCTAGCCTGTCAACTCTTTAAAGGGACACTCTGTCTTGTTCTTACTGTTTTATGAACATATTTACTAGTAACTGTTACCCACTGCCATTGAGTTAATTCCAACTCACAGCAACCCCCACTGGGTTTCCAAGGCGGTCAACCTCTACAGAAGTAGACTGCCTCATCATCCTTCTGAGGAGTGGCTGAGGTATTTGAACCTCCAACCTTCTGATTAGCAGGGAAATGCCTTAGGCATTGCCTCACCAGAGCTCCTCACTAGTGACTATTACTGTTTATGAAAGAAGGGAAAAAAAAAAAAAAGAATGAGGCACGTTTCACTGGCTACCTGGGAGGCAGTGTCCAGCTCGGAGGCCATGTCCAGCCAGGGGCTTTCCCCAGGTCAGATGGTGCTCATGGGAGCAGGTGACCTGTCTGCTGACAGATAGCTGGGGCTGGAGTCTCACCTGGCGGATGTTCTGACCCACGTATTCGATGACCATCTCATCGGCTGCGATGGGCTCCATGGCAAATAGACCCCATTCATGGATCCGACTCCGGCCAAATCGGAGCTTCTTTTTCCGGAACTAGGGGCAGAAGGCAGACTGCTGCTGCGTGTCTCCCACAGCCTAGCGCCTTGCCTTTCCTGCAGACGTTCTAGGTAGGAGGGTCGTCTGCCCACTCACTTCCCACCCTTACCCCCCAGGATCACCTACGCCTGCCACGGGCAGCTCCCCTTGGTCCACTCTTCTCACTTCACCTCTGCCCCTTCCTGAGCCCCGCTCCTCACCTTGAGCTGGTTCAGCTTCAGCAGATCGCTGTCCATGACGGCCGAGGTGCCGATGGCGCTCAGCAACCGCCGCTGCTCAGACCGGCGTTCCGACAGCACACGGTTAGTCCCCTTGAGAATCAGGACAGGGAGATGAGGGGCAGCCGAAGCAATGGGAAGAGGATGCCTGTGGACCAGCGAGCAGGACAGGGCCTCACCTGAGTGTCCACTCCCTCCAGCTGCCGGGCCGAGACGGGGCACACATCCAGGTACTTGTCCTTTTCCTTCTTGCTGATGGGGTAGTAGCCTTCGCTGCGGGCGGAGCCTGTCTGGTGCTCACGGGGCCCATCCTGGGGCCGCCGCCTGCGCTTTGGAGTGTTCAGGTTGGTGAGTGCAGGGTGTTAAGGAAGACATGCTCCCCACTGGCCGGATCCCTGGAGCACCACTCCTTCTGGCCACCCCAGCCTCAGCCCAAGGAAAGGGTGACCAACTTCAGCTGGTGGAGCTGAGCACAGCCAGTGTGAGAAAGACAGGAAAAAGGTAAGTCGCAGATGCCACTTTCTTTTTTGCCAGAAAAATTTCCAGGAGGCAGAAAAGAGGCATGAAGCAAAGAAGAGTAGCTTGGCTGACAGAGGACACACATTCAGGCTGAAAGTGGGGACAAGAACTACACAGACAGGTAGGGGATAAATGCAGACACGGGGAGAGCACTGGAGAGGACTCTGCCTGGCTGTGCTACCCTAGGGACATCCCTTCCCGTGCCCTGGGCCTGCGGAGATCCCTGTGCTCGGGAGGCCAGCCTGCACGGCTTAGGATATTCGTGTGATGGACCCAGTGGGTGTCGTTAAGCCAGTCGGCTCCACTTGTCTGTTGCAGCAGCCGCTCGTATGTGAGTCGCAGGTAGCCCATGTCTTCCAAGTCTAGGCCTGAGTTCCAAATGTCATACAAGATGGTCATCTGCTCAAACTCACTGCGGGGCTCGAAGGTGGGAGGTGGGGGGGGTGGGGGGGGGGGGGGCGGCCGCCGGAGCCGGGCGTGGGAGCGCAGGCTGCGCCGCCGCAGGGCCCCGTCCCCGTCGCTGCTGCTGCTGCTGCTGCTCTCAGACGACTCCTCCTCCTCCTCCTCCTCCTCTTCCTCCTCCTGCTGCGGTTTTGGCTCCTCGGCCTCAGCTACCACCACCTCGGGGGCCTCCAGGACCTCATCTGCTGGGGAGCTGAAGAGGGCCACGGGGGCTGGAGCTGGCTCCGGGGGCCGAGAGGCCAGCATGGAGGCCGCGGGCTTGGCGGCCAGGGCATAGTTGTGCTCCAGGAGGATGTGGCTGAGTGGGGGGCCCGGTCGGTCAGCCTCGTCCAGTGTCTCTGTGGCCTCTGAGTCGTCTCCAGAGGGTGGGGCCAGCAGCCCCCGCCGGGCTGGGGTCAGGGCCAGGTCGGCCAGCACCGCCAGGTCCACTTCCGTTCCTGGCTCAGCCTCTTCCTCCTCGGTGCAGCGGCCTCGGCTTCCAACCCGGTTCCGACCTCCTCGAGATACCTCCTCGGGCCAACTCTTGACCAGAGATGCATGGTCCAGCGGCAGGTTGCGAATGGTTCGCTCCACAACTCGTGGGACTTTGCGAGAGACAGGGCCAGGGGCCTTGACCTGTGGCGGGGCAGCTGGGGAAGGCTCTGGGGCTGGGGCCTCCTCCAGGGTAGAGAAGGAGACTGTTTTCCGGCGCTTCTTGGGTGGGGGCAGGAGGGGGATAGGAGAGGAGGGGCGCTCCTCGGGGCGGGGGGCAGGAGCTGGGGGCCCAGCTGGTGGCTCTGGAGGAGGCTGGGGCACACTGGGAGGTGGTTCCTCACTGGAACCTGGGGAAGGAAGCACATAGGGAAGGGAAGAAGGTCAGATTCCTGCCCTGACATCATAAGACTGAGATTCACTGTGGCCGCAAAATAAGAGGCTCATCCAGGCCTGGGTCCTCATCACCCAGGAATCCACACCCCAGCGGCCTTGTATCAGGCCACATTCTCTCTTCTCCGCTTCCTCCCAAGAAACTCAGACAGACAGACAGACACTGGTGCTTGCTCAGGAACACCACACTGCCTACACTGCCTGTCTCGCACACCTGCAAAGGCCCACCTTCTAGCCCTCAGCACCGTGGCTTCCTCTACGGGACGTCTGCACCCGCTCATTCATACCCTGGACACCCATTTACTGAGCATCAACTCTCTTCAGGCCAGGGGCAAACACGTGAAGCAAACAGACACACTCAGTGCCTTCACAGGGCTTACAGTCTAACAGAAGACAATCACACTAAACATGCAGCCAAAACTGATGTGGGAGGAGAGAAGGCTTGAAGCAGACAAACATTTCAATTCTAGCCTCGTGACAAGACTGCTGGTGGCAGAACTACATGCAACAAGTGGGCACGCAGACCAAGAGGATTTCTACCAGCTGCAAATAACAACAGCACAAGGAGATCTGAACTAAAATATCCATCACTTCAAGTGTAAACAATATTCTTAGTTTCGTGCCCAGTGTGTGTAGATATGATGTAAGTAGGTGAGTCTTCGTATCAAAATATTTTATAAAATTTGCCTCTCCCCTGACAAAGAGTGGGGATTTACCCTTGTAGCGACAGGATCAGGAACCCTCCCCTAGAGAAGCTAAGGTTTGAGCTGAGATCCCAAGGACAAGGGAGAGGGTAGGAAAGGGGTGATAGGTGGTCTTTAAGCACCCAGTAGTGTCTCCCTAGTTAACGTCCTCCAGGAAGGGAGCACATCCCTCCTCAGTTTGGAACCCACCCCTGCCCCAAGTCTCATGCTGAGTGCAGGGGTCTGAACACTGCTGAAGATGCATACAATCCTCTCCTCGGGACTGACCAGTCTTCCGGCACAGGCCTGTTCCACAGGGAGAGCTCGTATGCAGCTTTCAGACCCAACCCCAGGCCACCTCCTCCATGAAGCCCTGACTTCCTTACACACTGCTAACATCTTCCTGTCAGACCAGAAGCTTGGTAGTTCTCAACCGCTAGTCTTCAGGTTGGCTGCAACAGAGTAATAGCTAACACTGTGCCAAGCACCAATCCCAGCCTTTTACATATACAACTTATTTAATTCTTACAACAAACTCAAGAGATGGATACTATTAATCAGATGAGGAAACTGAGGCACAGAGATGTTAATAACCTGCCTAAGGTCACACAGCTAGCACATAACAGAACACGACCAGCACCTGGACAGTCTGGACGTCCTGCATTGGGACTCAATGGCTTCCCATCTGACTGCCATTCCCACAGCTGAAGGGCAGCCAGCATAAGCCCTGGCCGACAGGCAGTGAGGAGCACATGTACACTGCCTTAGCCAATGTCCCCCAAGGCCATGCTGTGAACAAGGCCCCAGCCTGCTGTCTCTCCAGGCCCTGGATACCAGCTGGGGTCTCAGCCAGTCCTAATCCGTCCTCTGAAGCCAACGAGGCCCTCCAGTTTCTATGCGTCTTCTTAGCTCTTCTCTTCACCTTGTTGTGGGGCAGTCTCTTCCACACTCATCCTACCAAGCTGGCCCCACTGTGCCCTCTGGAATCCTTTTAAGCATACATTTCATTCCTCTCCCTGTTCTAAGGGAAATCTAGCCATTTCTTTCATTTAGGAGATTTTTGAAGTACCTGCCTAGTCCGTCTAACTCCCACCTTTCTCCAGGATTTCTCCTGATATTCCTAGGTCCGTGATGATGAGACCCCAGAAGCCAGTGTTTCCTCCACATGACCTGCCCCTCTCTCAGACCCATCACTGACTAATCACCGGAACTCAGCCAGCCCAGTCAGACACTTCCTTGAGAATAAGGATCTGAGACAGAGTGGATCTGTCTGACCAGACTGGGAAACAGGAAAGGCTGACTGCTACTGCATCCAGGTCCCTGTCTTTGGGTTCCAACAGACAGATCATACCCTGTAAACAAATCTTTATACTGAAATGGACTGAAATTGGTTCATGTTTCCAGAAACCCAGTGAGCCCTCAAGAAGACCCCACCTTATATCCTAAAGAAGTGAGAGCCATAACAAGAACAGATATATGCAAGCCGATGTTCATCGCAGCACTATTTACAATAGCCAAAACTTGGAAACAACCTAGATGTCCAACAACTGAGGAATGGATAACCAA